ATATGTTACATGTACGTATTTTATAAATCCTGAGTTAACAAACATAGTGCTAATTCCCCTCCCTCACCACAGACTTCCACCATCATACACTTGTATATTCCTTCTTCCTAAGTGAAAATTACAATTTCTAACAACATTAACACATGTACCCATTTTGCTTAATTGTGTAATAAACAACTGAAATAATACAGAATCATTTCACCCATTCAACTATAGTAAATTGTAGCTTGTTTTTAAAATTTTTTTTCAAAGAAAAACAATTGATGTTTCTTTAAAAATAAATCATAATTCAAATGAATTTACCTGAATTAAATGTTTATTGTTTCATAAAGGATTCATTGGAACAGCATACAAAGAATTCCTTCATGTAAATTTTAGATCAATTCTTTTTAGAAATTCTATGTAAACCTTTGATGAGGGAACTGTATTAGAGTTTATCTAATTAAAAGTAGGATATTTTATATTTTTAAGATAATGAAAAAAGGTTTTTGCTATTAATTATACTGATAGTCAACTAGTATTTCTAGATATAACATTAAAATGTTCATATTAAATTAAATTTCATTCTAGATTCAAGGACATTACCTTTGACTAGAATAACAATATGTGTAATATTCAAAAAGGAAATATGAGCCCTTATTCTAAAACTTTGAATTTTTTTATAAAATACTACAGGAATAACCATGAATTTTTTTCTCTTTTATCATTTATATTAATGTTTCTAGTCTAGTAATTTATCATTTACAGTTTTCTCATTTTCTTTCAGATATAGGCATGGACCACCAAGCTCTTCTAAAGCAATTTGATCACCTGAATCACCTGAATCCTGACAAGTTTGAATCCACAGATTTAGATATGTTAATCAAAGCGGTGAGAATAATTCTGGAAGTGTTGTCTTTATTGTGCCTTTGAGGTTTTAAAATTTGACAGGCAAATGCAATGAAGTAGAAATATAACTTTCATATATTCTCTAGAATATCTTTAACGGGAGGTAGCTTAACTCTTATTAGTACAGATATTAATATAGATGTACAGGTCTACAATTCTTTATTGACAATTTCAAAAAAAGCTGTAAAAACTGAAACCTGGCCTGAACTAACCAATTATAGTAATGCTATTTATAGTTTAATTTAGCCTACTTAATGTGTTTATAGATTTTGCTAAAGAAATACTAATCTCGGGGCCGGCCCGGTGGCGCACTGCTACAGTGCGCCACTTGGAAGTGTGGAGGTGCTCCCGCCGAGGGTTCGGATCCCACATACAGACCGGTTCCCGCTCACTGGCTGAGTGAGGGGCAGGCGCAGCACCGAGGGTTGCGATCCCGTTGCCGGTCCCGGTCCGGTACGGGCGCGACACTGAGGGTTGCGGAAAAAAAAAAAAAAAAAAAAAAAAAAAAAAAAAAGAAATACTAATCTCTTTGATATGTGTCATATTCTCTTTTTAAAATTTAGAAAATTCTGAAACACATCTGGCCTAAGGGATTTTAGATAATAGTTTGTTGACCTCTCATATTGAGAGGACCTCTCTAATGAATGGAGTTACCAGAGTAGATGTTCTGGCCTGGCAGTTATTAGATTTAGTTAAATGGTTAGAAACCATTCTAGTTTTTTATACTGTACAGATTTGATACAGTCTTATCCTTCTTTTTAAAATCGATTTATTTATTACTTGCTTATGGGGAACTTCATAAAGTCAAAGCTAGCTTTGAACATTTAGTTTCTTTGAAGACCTACACCTTGGGTAATAATGACTAAAATAAAATGTTAGAATTAAAAAAATGGATGGGCCGGCCCGGTGGCGCACTGCTACAGTGCGCCGCTTGGGAAGCGTGGCAGCGCTCCCGCCAAGGGTTCGGATCCCACATACAGACCGGCCGCTCACTGGCTGAGCGAGGAGCGGGGGCAACACCGAGGGTTGCGATCCCGTTGCCGGTCCCGGTCCGGTATGGGCACGACACTGAGGGTTGCGATCCGTTGCCGGTCACGAAAAAAGACAAAAAGACAAAAAAAAAAAAAAGAATTAAAAAAATGGTAGAGTTAAAAATGGTAGAATAAAAAAAAATTTTTTGCCTTCCTATATAGAGTGTGCTATATTCAAGAATGGTTTTGTTTATTTTTCAAACATATTTTTATTTATTTATTTATTTTTTGTGGCTGCCTGGTATGGGGATCTGAACCCTTGACCTTGGTGTTACAAGGCTGCACTTAACCACCTGAGTAAACAGGCAGCCCTTTATTTAATTTAAATGCATTATTGCATTCTAGGCAACAAGTGATCTGGAACACTATGACAAGACTCGACATGAAGAGTTTAAAAGATATGAAATGATGAAGGAACACGAAAGGAGAGAATATTTAAAAACACTGAATGAAGAAAAGAGAAGAGAAGAAGAATCTAAATTTGAAGAAATGAAGAAAAAGCATGAAAATCACCCCAAAGTTAATCATCCAGTAAGGACTGTGGCTTAATGAAACCATATTTAGGTGAAGATACTTCTTAGCACCAGATAGCAGAATTTTATCATAAGTTATTAGTACTTAAATCTTAATTCTTAACTCTGCAAAGTTCCTCAAATTTGTATTTTATTTTGAGTCTATACGTATAGATTGTATTTTGTTTGAGCAATTGTTTAAAATTGGTTCACAGGGAAGCAAAGATCAACTCAAAGAGGTATGGGAAGAGACTGATGGATTGGATCCTAATGACTTTGACCCCAAGACATTTTTCATATTACATGGTAATAGATTTGATATAAATATTAATATTTATATCTGCTATTTGAAAAAAGTTATATTTGCTTTACTTTTAATTGATTTCTGCTATTGAGTCCTGTTGACAGTAGAGTTACAGCTATAGGGTGTAATATGATAGTCTTTATTGCTGATTTGCAGTATAAAATATTTTAGGTCAGTAGCTGTGCCTTTATACGTGCTGTTACTCTTGAATCATTATATGATTTATTGCAAGCCTCTCTCTAAACTGAAGGTAATTCTGTGACTAGCTAGGTTTTATCTAATAGGCCATATACTTTTATACCATATTGCTTTACTTTATATTTTTGGAAAAAATTGGTTAAGATGTGTTTTTCTAAGAAATAATTATGAATTATAAATACAGAATTGTTATCAGTTGGGCTGATCTGAAGCTTCATAGAAAAGAAGAAACCCTTTTCTGCAGCATGTTGATGCTTTATGTCAGTACTACTTTTGCAAACCATTTGTAAATAATTGTATGTTGATTATTTATTTCCTAAGGTATTAAAAATCAGTTTTGCATTTGTAACTTTTAAACTTTAGATGTCAATAATGATGGATTCCTGGATGAACAAGAATTAGAAGCCCTATTTACTAAAGAGGTAAATGAATTTATTGAGTACTCACCGTTCTTGGTCTTTCTTTTTTTTTGCTTCTATTACCTTCTTTTCTTTCATGTCAGTTTCAAAATTTTCTTTTTAGTTGGAGAAAGTATATGACCCCAAAAATGAGGAGGATGATATGGTAGAAATGGAGGAAGAAAGGCTTAGAATGAGGGAACATGTAATGAATGAGGTATGCTTTAAAAGTTTATATGTTATTTCTGTGGATTATTCAAATGCTTGCAGTAAATCTTACCATAAGATGGAAAATAAATATACAGAATAAGTATTTCATTAGTAGATTGAGTATCTGATTAATTTAATTAGAATAAGTATTTAATTTTTAATCTAGAATGTTATACTAGATGACTTTAGTATAAATAAAATAATTTTTAACTACTTTAAAATATTTTCAAAGATTAAAATGCTGCTATAAAACATTTTTTTGGTAGTGAAAAATAATGAAGTTTGATATTTGATATTTTAAAAGCCTATGTTAGTTTTTTTTTTTTTTTTTTTTTTTCCTTTTTGTCTTTTTTTCGTGACCGGCAACGGGATCGCAACCCTCGGTGTCGCGCCCGCACCGGCACTCAACCAGTGAGCGGACCGGTCTCTATATGGGATCCGAACCCTCGGCGGGAGCGCCACCACGCTCCCAAGCGCCGCACTCTACCGAGTGCGCCACCGGGCCGGCCCCTATGTTAGCTTTTAATAAGAAAATTCCAAAACCTCAGTACTTTAATGGCATGTAACAACAAATATTTATTTCTTGTTCACATAACATAAGCTTTCAGGGTTGACTGCAGCTAGGTGTAGCAGGGCTGGGCTGGGTTGGGCTGGTCTGGCCATGGCTGGGCTTGGCTCTACATGTCTTTCCATTCCGGGGCTGTAGGAGCAGTCTCTGTCAGGGACATAACCCTGACCAAACCATGTAATGGCTATGGCAAACTTCACGTCCATTTCTATCCCATTGGCTGAAGTATGTCCCTGTCAAGTCCCAGGTCGGTGAGGAGGGGATGTATAACTGCCATAGAATGTTTCAGCAAGTCATGTGACACTGGGCAGGGTTGTAAAATCCTATTACAGGAGGGAGCAATAGTTGGGAATAATAACCCAAACTATCAGAGTCCTAAAACTTTAATTTCTGTCCTTTTCAAAGCAGCTGACTATTTTTTTCAGTTTGGTTTGTTCAATTAGTTTTTCTTCTCCTCTTAGATTCCAGGCAAATGATGATGCATATTATTAGTTAAATATGTAATAGATGAGGCCCTTTGCAAACAGAATGGTGATTACCCAAGTACATTATTTGTACTAACTACTAAGTGCATACCCCTGTTGTATCCTGCTATATTGGAGCAGTGGAATGTGGCTAGAGATGAACATGGGAACATACTAACTGGTCTCTCGTAAGACTGGTAACTTCAGTCTTAAGAGTACAAATCACTAGGAGGCCCTCTGCTTGGCAATTCCACTGTATTCCCTGGTCCATTCACTTCCCCACTCCTGGACTCTGACAGTTTCACATATTCTCCCCTCTTCTTCAGCCTTCAAGACACTTCTCTTTCCTCACTTTTATGTGCCCTTGCCTCTCATTTTACTGAGAAAATAGAAGTGATGGAGAGAACTACTTCATCTTCCCACTACCAAATCTACCAGTCAATATGCATCTCTATCCATTTATCTTGCCTTGCTTTCTGTTAACAGAGGCTAAACTGTTGCTGTTCCTTTTGAAGGCCTTCTCCTGCCCTTGAGCTTAGGTCCCATTCAGTTTCTCCTGGGAAGGACTTTGTTCCTGCTGTTATTCCCATGCTCTCATGCATCAGTTTTCCCCACCGTACTGGATCATTCCCATTAGGAGACAAACGTGATCTAACGTTTTCAACCTTAAAAACAAAACCAAACCTTTAGTTACTGCTTCATTTCTCTGCTCCCCTTCACAGCAGAACTGTTCTATAGAGTTGTCTATTCCTCCTCTTTCTGTTATTCCTCACCTTTCATCCTCTCTTTAATCTGTGCTGAACATGCAGTAGCCTCTACTATTACACTGTCAGATTACTCCTTCTGTCAGATGACCTCTATCTTGTCACATTCTATGGTCTCATCTCACTTGACTTCTTAGCAGCATTTGATACAGTTGCTACCTCTCTCTTTCTTGAAATGCTTTCTTCACTTGGCTTGGAGAACCCACCTCCTTGGTTTCCTCATACTTCACTCATTCTTTCTTTTCAGTCTCTTCTGGCTGTTCTTCCTCTTCCCATGTTCTAATGTTGCAGTGCCCTGGGCCTGTCCCTTGGCTGTGTTCTCCTTTCTATCTTCATTCTTTCCTTAGATGATATTTTGGAGTCCCATGTCTTTGTATATGCTCTATGTACTGACAAATTCAAAATTTTTATCTCCAGCTCTCTCCTTTCCCTGAGAGCCAGGCTTGTAACTGTTCACCATTTCCCCTTCCAATCCATTCCCCCTCTCAGCCTTCTTCATTTCAGCCAATGAGTCACGATTCATCTTGTTGTCCTGTTTGATCTACCTTTGAAACAAATCCAAAATTCAACCACGTCTACTACTACCAGTCAAGTCCAGGCACATCTCCTAACTGGTATCTGTTTCCACTCCTTCCCTATTGCAGTCACTTCTCAATACAACAGGCAGAGTAATCTCTTCAAAGCATCAATCAGGTCATATTGCTGTCTTGCTCAGAATACTTCAGTGGTGCTTGCCATTTCACTTAGAATATGATCCTAAATGCCTCCTATGTCCAGAAGACCATGACATGATTTAACCCTTGCCTTGCTCTTTGCCTCCATGCCCTGTGACTCTGTCTAACTCTACTCTGGCCATACTGGTCTTCTTGGTGTTTACCTTTCATCAAGCTTGTTCCCACTTTAGGGCATTTGAATTTAATGTTTCTTCTTTCTGAGAAACTCCTCTTTTAGGTCATGGTCTCACTTCCACCAGGTCTGTGCTCACATGTCCACTCTTCAGAGAGATCTCCATGATCACCCTAATTGAAATACTTGCCTTTCTCTCCAGTCCTTGCCCTGCCCCTTCTCCCTCTAAGCAAAAAAACACTCAGATACAGACATCATATGCAAGGTAACTGAAGCCTACTGACTTGCTTCAGTGATTTCCACCTGAATGTTTGCACTGTTAATGCTGAGTTTGGATCTCTGTTGATTGCTGGCGTCCCAAGTATCAACTGAATTTCTCTGGCCATTATAGAGTTCACCTTTGTAAATGAATTTGCCACAGTCTGTAAGAGGCTTTGAAGAGGATTTGGAGAGGTTGTCAACTTTAGTTCTGATTTATTTGTTTGTTTTTAAGAAAAAACGTTGAGAGCATTTTAATTTAAACTCCTTTACTCTTGGCTAAAACAGTCCTATTTCTAGTATGATTATTTATCTTGCCCAAGCACTTGGCTTCAAGTGGTATTATACATAGTATGGTGAGAAAGGAAGACAATACCAGCCGAACCAGTCAGCTCAGCCAACTCACACTTGGTGATCTTTGGAGCATTAGGTATATAGATATCTTGTATTTTCAAGTTTGAATTATGTAGAAGAGAAAGATATCTATTTTCTGATTTAGTATAAAGTTGAGTGTTTTGTGTTTCTTTTTTTACCTCCAGTTTCTATGGATGTTAGGCTAGTCCTAATTGCTGTGTGTATATGTAGTAGCACCTGTTAGGAGACAGTTGTTAGTGTCTAAATAATATGAGAAAGATTTATTTTATATTTCATATACATTTTCTTTCAATTAGGTTGATACTAACAAAGACCGATTGGTAACTCTGGAGGAGTTTTTGAAAGCTACAGAAAAAAAAGAATTCTTGGAGCCAGATAGCTGGGAGGTAATAGAACCTACTTCAAATGGAATGTATGTTTCAAGAAATTCTACATCCATCTATTCTCCTTATTCCACATTATGTTTGCATGTAGGGTCTTACCATCTTGGTTTTTTATATAAAATGTCACTCTAAAATAATGAACTTGATTTCTTGGAAAGTTTGTGGCAATTGATCTCATTTGTAATCGCACTGCATATAATTATAAGTCTTCTAAAATTTGCACTTTTTTCTAAGTATAAAATAGCATTCATTATTGAAAATTAGAAATACAGACACATTTAAAGATTAAATTAGTAGTTACCTATAATTCTACAACCAGGAGGTAGACACTTAAATTATGCATTGGACTGCGTCAGTTTGGAATAGGATGCAGTTTATATATATTTATAGTATATACATATATAGCATATGGTATGTAAACAGGGTATTATTCCATTTTTAATTTATGTATACATATATATTCATATTTATGTATTTTTTATAATGGCTTTATACTATGTAAATTACTTTGTATGCTCATGAAATACTGTTTTTAATTTAGCAATATTTTATGAATGTTTTTCAATATCACTTCTTAACATGATTTAAAATTTTAAAATGATTATTTAACATGCAGTTGTATGGTTGTAGCATAATTTATATAACCATTCCTCCAGATTAAGACATTTTGGATAAATTCCAACATTTTACTATAATAAGTTACACTATAATGACTATTGATTTGTTCATACATTTTTGGACAGTCTATGATGATTTCCCTGGAACTAATTCACAGGACTAGAACTATTCTCAAGGTTTATGAACACTTTTTTAGTTTCTTAATATATCTTGCCAAGTTGCTCCAAAAAGGTAAACCAATTTATACCACAGCCAACTGTGTATAAATGAGTACATGCACAATTTTAAAAGAATAGTTGAGAAGTACCAACCAAAATAGATTGAAGAAAGAACATTGTCTTTTCCTACATTAGAAATAAAAAGATTACCATTTAAATTAGATTTTTAATTGTCCAGAAAATAGTTAGAGATAGGGTGACCAGCTGTTCTTTTTTACCTGGAACTGAAGGGTTTCCCAGGATGTGGAACTTTTCATTGATAAAACCGGACAGTTTGGGGCAAATTCGGACAGTTGGTTGCTTTAGTTTGAGATCAGAGAAGTCAGCCTCTTTTTGTTTAGAGTTGTTGTCTAACATTTGACATACTTCTGGACTTTGGAGAATAAGAATGCTAAGATTATTTGAATATACATTCCCTTTAGTATATCTGGTAAGCTAGAAGATCAATAGATAATTATACACTTAAAATTTTGACATGATTTCAGATTTACCAAACAGTTGTGAGAGTAGACAAGGAATTCCTGAATACCCTTCACCCAGGACTCCCATTTTACTACATTTGCTTTATTTTTCTTTCTTTTTTCCCTCTCTCTCTCTTTAATCTCTGTGTATATGTGTATAACATATGTTATATATGTATATATATGTGTATGAAGGTACTTGAAAAAGTTTGTCAAAAAATGGAATTGAGAGATCATGTGAATTTTTCCATCAGCTTTTTGAAGACCCCTCATATATATAAGTTTTTGAGTTGCTTAAGAGTAAATTGCATGTGATGCCATTTTAACCTTAAATACTTGAGTATGTATTTCTTTTCTTTTTTTTTTTTTTGGCTTTCTAACTTTATTTGACAATCAGCACTTAGTTCTCATCCACCATTTTTGAAAGTGGTAACAGGTACATAGTTAACCTAAGTATAGAGCTTGTTTGGTGAATCTTCATCCTCATTACGTTTTCTGGACAACGAACGGCACACGGATAAATGGTATGGAACGTTACTTATTCCTTTGGCCCAGACAGCTTTGCTGATCCTGGTATCAATGCGCACATCTGGAGTCCCCATCTCCTTCATGGCATATTTCCGGATCTCTCTGAGTGCCTGAGGTGCATGCTTCTTGAAACCCACTCCATGGATATGCTTGTGAATATCGATGGTGTATTCTCGGGTTACCATCTCGTTGATGGCAGAATGGCCCTTTTTCTTCTTGCCACCCTTCTTTGCAGGAGCCATTCTGCCAGGCCCAAGTTAAAAAGGAAGAGACTTGAGTATATATTTCTTGAAAACAGGATTTGTCTTACATAATCACAGTACAATTATCAATACAATACACACAGAACTCTTCTCCAACCTCTAGGATTTTGTTGAGATTTTTGTCAATTTTCCCAATAATGTCCATTATAACAAAAGAAAACCCAAGGTCATACGTTGAATTCAGGTGTAATGTCTTTCTGGTCTTCTTTAATCTGAAACAATTCCTGAATCTTTCTTTGTGTTTCCTGGCATTGGCATTTTTAAAGACTACAGACCAGTTACGTTGTAGAATGTCCCTTGAGTACCACAAGAGGGATGCTTCGTGTATCTTATCAGGAGACACATGCTATTGGTGGTTCCCAAAACTGGCAATGCTAGCTCTGATCATTTGTTTAAGGTGGTTTCTACCAGATTTCCCCACTGTAAAGTTACTATTTTACCTGTGTAATTTAAAAAGTATATTGTCTAATCCACCGTACAGCCAGAATCAGAAGTCAGCTTTTTAAAAATTCACTATGAATCATCTAAAAAGTATTTCCACATATTTGTAAGCATTATTTTAATAGCTGTGGAGGTATGAAACCGTTTTCTCAGAGTTAGGCACTTAAATTATTTCCAGTCTTTTACTGTTATTTAAAAAAGAAATGTTGCTATAAATATATTTTTATATAAAGCTTTTTATGTGTTTAGGGTTATTTTATAGGATAGATTCTCAATGTGGCATTCCTGGGACCAAGGGAATATTTTTAAGGCACTTGATATACTTTGCAAAAGTGCTTTTCAAAAGAATTGTACCAGTTTACATTTCCACCAATAAAAAATGAGTGCACGCTAAAAAAAAGTATCCTGTGGGTTATACATGTAAATGTCTCATTATCTACTAGTTTTAGCATCCGCTGATGATTCTGGCCAGATTCATGTGGTGCTGTGATGTTTGACAAATGGTGATTCTCTAATCTCTCATCATTCCTCCTACACTTATTACTTGGCTTTCTACTGTAAGGAAAAGCTCTCTCTTCCCCCTACCTCTCTATTTATGTTAGTGTAGACTCATGGCTTTTTATTTTATTCAGTAAACTCTAATCCTTACTGTTATTATTTATGAGTATTTCCATGCCCAAATTGTCCCAGACTTGGCCGGTGGGAGCTTCTTCAAACTGGCTTTTGTGTCCTTCTGATATGTCCCTATCATTTTTGGAGGACTTGCTTACTTTTAGTATAACCAGATGTTCAAGACTCATCTTGTCCTTTCCCTTCCCGGTACCTGGAATCAATAACCATTTTTTCTGAGGAGCCCTGATTCCTTTAAGTGGGGACTGATGTTACAGACAAGATTTGGGCACTGGATGTGCTCCCTGCTACTGGAGTGTCACTGTTTCCAAGGCCTTGTCAGATGACAGAGCTGGGGATTTAAAAATACAGTATACATATATGTATACACACACACACACACACACACAAACATGCACACATACACACATACATATACACACCTATACACATTTATATTCATTTCTGTATATCTAGCTATCAATATGTATGAATACTCATGAGTTTACACTATACCCTATTTCAATCCAGCACCTCCAATTTCAACACAACATTCTATCTTTTGCTCTTTCCATATTTCATGTGAAACCTAAACCATTTTCCATAGAAATATTCCACTTATTTGCTCAGTTCTAGAATGTAGAGTTTCAGAAATCTAATTGCTAATCCATGCCTCTGCAAAATAAGAGTTTAATATTTGTTTAGATTTTTTTGTTGTTGTTTTTAACCCGAGGGCATATAGTGTGATCAGAAGTTACTTGGGATAACTATTTTTCCCCCTTCTTCCTTCTGTGGGTTATCTTATTCATTTAAAATAAAAGTATTATTTATTTGCTTATGTTTTTGTGGTCAAGTTTTGGGGTTTTCCTGTCCTTTGGATTTTATTTATTTTCTTTCTGTGAATATGTGAAACATTAACATGTTTCCAAAAATTGAATCTGTAGAAGAAAAGTGTATTTCCAGAAGTTTTTTTCTCTTCCCATATTCTCTCTTTGTTCTTAGTAACCAGTCTCATTAGTCTCTGGGTTTTCCTTCATGTTTTTCCTTTTGGTCAAATCATTATATCAATATACATATATTTTTTATTTGCCCTTTTTTCTTACCCAAAAGGTATAATATTATAGATACTCCTTTGTACTTTCCTAATTAGAGAATTTAAAAGTTTAAAAATTTAAAGCTCATACCTTATTGTCATATTTCTTAGATTATTCTTTCCTGATTTTGTTTCATTTAGACATTGGATCAGCAACAGTTCTTCACAGAGGAAGAACTAAGAGAATATGAAAATATTATCACTTTACAAGAAAATGAACTTAAGAAGAAGGCAGATGAGCTTCAGAAACAGAAAGAAGAGCTACAACGTCAGCATGACCAACTTGAGGCTCAGAAGCTGGAGTATCATCAGGTAGTATTTCATAAAAAGATTATGGCATTAGAAAGGATCTTAGGTGCTTTGCTGAAAGTCTGTGTTTTTGTTGTATAATATTTCAAAGTATTATTAGCTATTAGCATTTTAAATTTTAGTATTTTTAAAACTGCTTTGTGGAATATTAATCTAAATTTTAAGAGCTGGAATACCTTTGTTTTGGAAAACGATTTTCAGTCAGTTTTTTGTGCTTTGTCAAAGGTCACACATATGAGAGAAAATCAAATAATACAGTACTTTCTTTCAAGACTTTCTTTTTTCATTGACATGTTCTACAGCAGATGGAACAAAAAAAATTACAACAAGGAATTTCTCCATCAGGGCCAACAGGAGAGTTGAAGTTTGAGCCACGTATGTATTTTGTTTGTTTTTTTGTTTAGGGAAATAAACCATTGTACAAATTGAAATAGACATTTATTACAAGTATAATTTCAAATCATTAAGATTTATATTATTTTCTATATAGTTGTAAAGACAGAGGAATTTGCATTATAGAAAAATGAAAAGGCCTCCAAAATTTTTAAGTATCAGCATATTTTAAATGCTATATAACTCAGTAACCATATTTATGTTGAAATGGTTTATTTCAACATTATTCATAATTCTTTCTAATCAATTATATTGATCTTACTAGAGAATATATTTTTTAAAAATTGCAATCTATGATTAGCTAAGCATATTTTAAAAAACAAATGCTAGATATATCTGTATATAAAAGAACACTCAGAATAAAGGAAGATACCATTAGAATGAGAGGTGTTTTGGTTTTTTTTTTTTTTTGACAGACATTTAAAGCCTGAAGTTCACCAGAACTTGGAAGAAAACTGTTAACATCTATTTCATCTTTTTACCTCTCTTTCTTTTTCTCTGCTCAATAAATATTTTAAAGCATATTTGGAATAAAGGTAGATACCTTTAAAATGAGAACCTATTATTTTGGACACAGATATTTAAGGATTGAAGTCTACCAGAACCAGGAAGAAAACAAACAAACTCACTATCTGCTCTCACATTCACATCTCCCTTCTTTTTTCTTTGCTTTCCTTTAGTGATTTAATTTAGTGGCCTTATGCCATAATTTAATGAAACTATCAGTAACTATTTAAGTGAGAAAGCTCTGCCTATTGCTTTTAAAATAAATTGCTCTCACTTACTCATAGTAATCGATACTATTTCATGGGTGCTTATCATCCCCTCTCTCAATAAATGCCTTTTAGATATTAACAATTCTTCTGAAAAGGCCAAAGTATTCCCCAGTGTTTCATGGTAACTTTTTCCTACTTTTTGCAACCTTAACTGCTAGGAATTCTTCTTCAACTGAATAGCTTATTTTTTTAAAGATGACTGGTAAGGAGATCTTAACCCTTGACTTGGTGTTATCAGCACCACGCTCTCCCAAGTGGGCTAACCGGCCATCCCTATATAGGGATCTGAACCCGTGGCCTTGGTGTTATCAGCCACACTCTCCCAAGTGAGCCACGGGCTGGCCCAACTGAACAGCTTTTGTTACCACTTCAGGTCATTTTTCATTCATAGTTTTGCTCTATACTTTATCTCTTAAGATTAGATTCTGCTACATATAACAGAAAAACCAAAGATAACAGTGTAAACCACTAACTAAATAGGAGTTTTTCCCTTTTATATAAAAGAAATCTAGAAGTAGGTGGTATCCAGATTTCTGTCTTTCTACTCTGCTATCTTCAGTGCATGATTTTTATCAAGTTACCTCACTCTCACTGTCTAAGATTGCTGCGGGAGGCAGTGGGGAAGGGCAAGAAAGATGACTTTCTCCAGTTGAATTAGATTCCTTGAAGCAATTTTTTAGAAGAACCAGCAACACTTGATCTAACTGGCCAGAACTGAATCACCTGGCTGCACCTAGCTGCACCATGCTGAGAAATGCATGAGGCAATGGGACCAGCTAAGGGGTTAAGATTCTTTTTAATTAGCCAAACAGGGATTTGAACCCTTGACCTTGGTGTTATAATACTGTATGCTAACCACTTGAGCTAACCAGCCAGCCCCAAAGCTAGGATTCTTTTACTAAGGGAGAAGGGAAGTTGGAATGTTTGGAAGGCAACTTTTAGTTTTAGCTCAAATCAGCCTTGCTGGCTACCTAAATCTCTATGTACATTCTACTTATGAGACAGAAAGTACTCAAGTCCTCCTATCCCAAAGAAAAATCACCAAAAATCTAATTCATTGTTGCATGTGAGCTCAAAGACCATGATGTCTGGGTATAGATTCCTCCATCAGGTCAGGATGTAGCTTCTTGTATTCTGGCCACCTATAAACCAAAAGGCAAGTTTTCTGCCCCAAGAGCATCACATGCATAATGCATAGGTACAGGAAAACTGCAATAAAATTGAACTTTTAGGAAAAGGGAGAATTGGAAACAGCACATGGTCACTGATCTATAACAATAAAAAATACTGCTTGGCAAAAATAGTAATCTCTCTGCTGTAGTCCATGAATATATTCCTTGGTTTGCCCATCAGCCAACCCTTAATTCACCTTTCTGAGAGGAATTCCCTTATCTAATATCCTCAGGGGTCCTTGGCTTTGCCCTCTAGGAGGTTTTTATTGCCCACTAATTTTCAAGACACATCTGAATGGGCATTGGAGAGTATGTTCTTCTTGGATGCTGGACAACCTTAGCAGTTCACTTCCTGTTATTGTGGGCTTGGGCACTGTTTTAGATAGTTAACAGCTATAGCATGTTGCAGGCCAGGTTTGGGATTTTGTTTGTTTTTGTTTCGTCTTTTGGCCAAATGTTTCCCTAAAAACTGAGTAAATTTCTGGTCTGTTTTCTTTAATCATTCCCATGAGTGACCACTGTCAAAGACATTTGCTTTCTGGCCTCTGTGCTCACTTCATCTCCTTGGGTCTTAAATGAATGGTACCTACTTGAGACCCTTTCAAACTGTAGGCTCGGATGGGATGGCAACAATCTTAATCTAGTCTTTTCTCCTGGAATGGCTCATATTAGTTGACAGAAAAGAATTTAGGAAAGGTTCTTGAAGAAGGTTGAAGAAGCTTTAGCAGCTTCCTCAGAGCCTTTGCTTATAACTGTTTGGAGTACAATAGTGGTTGACTTTTTCAGTTCTTCAGTGTTCCAGATTTGGGGCTTTATCAATTTATGTTATAGATAGAGAACAATTTCATCAGCAGAGCTATTTCCCTTGCATCTCTGCAGACTTGTTAACCATAGCCTGAGTCACATTTTTCTTGTAGGTCTTTGCTGAAAGAGGCAAGAAGCAGCCAACACATGCTAGCATTCTGGAGTTCTACCACCACTTTCTCTGATAACTTAATTGTAGTTGGTGGGAGGTCTCACTGCCCAAAGCCCTACCTCTTCTACTAAGCCAAACCCGTATTTAGTTTTACTTGCTGCACCTTACTTCTAGCTACCAAATTTTGTATAGGTCAAGATTCTTGATTGTAGGTAACAGAATCTTTAGCTATTGAACAGAAAGGAATTGATTAAGGAGTATATATAGCTTACAGAATCTTTGGGAGGGCTGAAGAAACAGACCCAGGCTGAGCTTCAAAGAACTACATCACAAGAGTGGGCTGCCAAAGGAGCTGCTACTTTTGGAACAATCAGGAAGCTGCCTCCTGCATTAGGAAGCCGTGAACAGTTGCCAGCTCTAGAGCCACAGCACCTCTGCCATACTTTGTGCTGGCGAAAATGGATACCTCATGTCCTGCCTCTCTTTCCATATAACTGAGTAAATGTCTCAAGTGAGTACATCTGACTGATCGGACCAATCATATCTGGAACCCTAGCTGCAAGGGAGGGTGGGAAATAGAGTGTTTAATTTTTCAACCTCTGTGTTACAGGAGTGCATGTTAAAAGCTGTTGAGTGAACCAGTCCATCCTAGTACCTCATAATTTTATGTTGTTTCTCTTCACATTAATAATTTTTTAAACTTAGCCCTTATTTTACAAAATTTTAAAAATCACTGCATATTTCTTCAAACACACTTCAAAAAAAACTTTTTTCAGAGATCCCAAAATTAAATACAGCAATTTAGAAAAGTTTTCCTTATATACAGCTTAAAAAAAACCCCAAAACTCACAGGAACCACTCAACACAGTAATAGTGCTATATTTCTACAGAGATGGAGTAGAATTCCTATCTCTTGTTTAAATTGTAGGCAATGTAGAAAAATGGTTTGGAATATCCTTTTGTTGATGACTTCTGTGACCAGAAACCAATAAGATAGGCATTTTCTTAGGTAAACGTTTTTAGATGGTGAACTGGGGTTAAATCTGAAAGTAGTTGGAGGAGAACTTAGAGCAATTTCTTGAAAAGCTTTTTTAATCCAAATGGATGGATATTAATGTAGAAATATCTCACAGTTTTCAGCAAATTTATTATAATTTATATTATTCAAAAAAGAATTGTTAACCTTAAAATTACAATAGTACTTCAAAATGGTCATGGAAAGATTTGTATTATCTTTTAGTTCTATTTCTCCACAAACTTTTTGAAGTATCCTTGTATTTATAGACTCAAGGAATTCCAGTTCTTGTGAGCACTGGGCATGTATGAGTGAATAAGATTTCTGAGAAAGTTGCAAATAGTATTTGTTTCAGCTCTCTTATGAAGTATTTATCCTGTTTTTAATTTATACCATTCTTGTTCATATTTCTTTAGATATTAAATTGTCTTTGGTTTAGCTGACTTAGTGGTATGTATTAATAATTTGGAGTTTTGTTTCACATATGAATTTTCATGAAGCATGTAAATTTTATAGTATGCTTTAGTATATAATTAAAATTAGATTTTAAAAGATGATTGTTCTCTGGAATACTGAACTGTCATTAAAGAAAACTGCAGTTTAGAAGTGGTAAAAAAATCCTCTGAGACATGGCTATACATTTTTTTTTACCAAGATGTGTTTACAACAGCATTATTTTTATGTTAATTAAACAGATTTGTATTACTATAAGCCTAAATGCATATCTGTTTTTCACATAAGGAAAAATGTAAAGAAAATTTTAATGTTTTTGATAATGTGATTTAAAAAATAGCCTAACTAATAAAAGAGGGGATAAGAAATCTATTTTCCTTAGGGTGAAATTTTGACAAGCTCAGTTCCAGTTAGTGCATAAATTTTAATCTTTGTTTTACAGCTGTGCAGTACACTTAACAAGAAATTGAATGAGAGCCAGAATTGAATGATGAGCTTCATCGTTTTCATGCAAGATTTTTATCCTCTGAAGAAACTGCTAGAGAAGTCCACCTTCACCCTTAACCACTTGGTGCCTCAACTTAATGCTTTTTAAATTCATTTGTTTTTGTTGGAATTGGGAGAGTAAGGTGTATTAAGTAAAATACAAAGTTTACTTTTTCTTTTTTTTTCTAATAATCCAAAATGCATTTTTATTTTTATTTTTTAAAATCAATATTACTAGCATATATATTGTTACAAATTGTAATTATTCTTTATGCCCCTTGTCCGGTCTCTCCCCTTCCCCCTTTCCCTCCCTCCTCCCCCCCTCTAGTTACCCTAGATTACTTCTCTCCTTCTGAAAGAATAATGGTTAATTTGTTTCCTAGATGATCTGTCCAATGCCAAGAGGTGTGATCAAGTCCCCCAATATTATCATAGAGCAGATGCTTCTTCTGTCACTCTGAAATGGGCTTTGTGGAGAGAGACAACCTCTTCTTTGTCTCTGCTGGTGACTCACCTTGTGTCAATGCACTCCAGTGGTTGGCGGGCCATCTGCGTGGTGGTTGTGGCATCTTGCTGCTTTCACAGTAGCCATGGTTATTGTGGTGGCTGTGGTGGGCCACCCACATGGAGGTGAAGTTTTTGGTATGCTCCTTGGCACTGGCAGTGTGCCTGGTTGTGGGGTGTGTCTGGTCCCCTTTTCCATGCCTCTGGTCCCTGGGTGGGCCCTGAGGCGCTGGCTCCATGTGCCTGGTTGTAGGAGGAGGGTCCAGTCCCCTTCTCCATGCCCCGGGTCCCCAGGTGGGCCCCAAGGTGCTGGCTTGCTGTGCCAGGTTGTGGGAGGATGGTCTGGTCCCCTTCTCAATGTCCCGGGTCCTCAGGTGGGCCCCGAGGTGCTGGCTCAGTGTGCCTGGTTGTGGGAGGGGGGTCCAGTCCCCTTCTGCATATCTTGGGTTTTTGGGCGGGCCCCAAGGCACTGGTGTGGTGTGCCTGGTTGTAGGAGAGAGGTCCGCTGGTGCGGTGTGCCTGGTAGTGGGAGAGAGGTCTGGTTCCCTTCTCCATGCCTTGGATCCCTGGCCGGATAGGCACTGGCGTGGTGTGCGTGGTTGTGAGAGGAGGGTCCGGTCTCTGGCTCCATGCCTCAGGTCACTAGGAGGGACCCGAAGCACTGGCTTGGTGTGCCTTGTTGTGGGAGGGAGGTCCGGTCCCCTTCTCCATACCTCAGGTCCCTGGGCAGGCCCCAAGGCGCTGGAGCATTGTGCCTGGTTGTGGGAGAGTGGGCCTGTCCCCTTCTCCAAGCATTGATTCCCCAGGCGGGCCTTGTGGCACTGGCATAGTGTGCCTGTTTGAGGGAGGGCGGTCTGGTCCCTTTCTCCATTCCTCGGTTCCCTGGGCAGGCTCTGAGGTGCTGGTGTGGTGTACCTGGTTTGGGGAGGGGGTCTGGTTCCTTTTCCATGCCTCAGGTCCCTGGGTGGGCCCCAAGGTGCTGGCGTGGTGTGCCTGGTTGTGGGAGGAGGGTCCAGTCCCCGGCTCCATGCCTTGTGTCATTGGGCAGGACCCAAGGTGCTGGCTTGGTGTGTTTGGTTGTGAGAGGGGGATCCGGTCCCCTTCTCCGTGCTTCAGGTCCCTGGGTGGGCCCTGAGGTGCTGGCGTGGTGTGCCTGGTTGTGGGAGGAGGGTTCAGTCCCTAGTTCCAGGCCGCAGGTCCCTGGCTCCACGCCTCAGGTCCCGGGGTGGGATCCGACGTGCTGGCTTGGTGTGCCTGGTTGTGGGAGGAAGGTCTGGTCCCCTTCTCCATGCCTTGGATCCCCAGGCAGGCCCCAAGGCACTGGTTCAGTTTGCGTGGAAGTGGGAGTGGGATCCAGTCCCCGGATCCAAGCCTCCATTTCCCAGGCAGGCCCCAAGGTGCTGGTGGTGTGCCTGGGCTGGAACTAATTTTTTGTCCTTGCTTACTTCTAACATGGGGGAACTTCCTGTGGGAACCAGTACTTGAGTGTGCTGTTGAGTTAAATTGCTGCTTTGCTGCTGTTTCCCTAGGGAAGGCTTTTTGTGCATCTCAGGGTTTAATGGTTGATCTTACAGGTACTTCTGGCTCTCCAGAGACAAGTGGATCTGTGTTCTGTGGAATCTCTGATCTGGGCCTGAGTTTTTTCATCAAACTGCACCCCATGCAATTCTGTATTCCTGACCAGTCTCCTCTGAGTGGACCTGTGTTGATTGGGGTCAGATCAGCTGTCCTTGCTGTGTCCCAGTGTTCTCCTGGTGTTCACATCTCGCCCATCGCCCATGCCCCAAACACTTCCCATGGGACCAGCCTGGTGCCATTCCTTGCAATCACTCACCAGCCTCTGAATGGCTCCCCTTTTTTCAGTTGTTCTGGCTCCTCGCTCCTGCGTGGGTCCATGTGAACCCTATTAGTGGTCTTGCTGTCCTGGGGGCCTCCAAGGCCCTCTTCTCTCCTGCTGCCTCCAAGTCAACTTCATCTGAAGGGCACAGCTGCGGCTTCTGCTGGCTCCTGCTCCATGTGCTCAGCAGCTCCAGCATTAAAGCAGCCGTGGCCCAAAGTGCTCAGAGCAGTTTTTTCTTTCTCTCATTGTGGTTTCTCCTACCTTCATAAACTCCATAGGTCTCTCCTCCTCTTCCCCTGAACTCCAGCAGCCCCAGCTTGGCTGATGTTACATTTTAATAGTTGTAAACTGGTTGATTTGTGGGAGAGAGTGATGCTGGGAACTGTCTATTCCGCCTTCTTTACCGGAACTCCCAAAATTTACTTTTTCATTCCTTATGGTAGATATAAAGGGAAGACTATAATGACAACCTGTTTCCAGGTGTGAAATTTGAAGGAAATCAGACTATTTCCTTGCTTTTTTAAAAACACAATATTATTGGCAAGATTCTAATCTTTCTTCCCTACCCACTTTTTAATTTAGTTTTTAAATGAGTAGCTAGCTATGAATTAGTAACCATTTTTTAGAGAATCCAAGAATTGAGCCAGAACAAGCAGTAGCAGCAGCAAATGGTAAAGATACCAAATTGAAAAATTTGTATTTATGGTTTCCAGCATTACCAACCTGCTTATTGAGACAAAAACAAAGAAAAGCAAAACCAGTGAAACTTTTGACTTCCTTTTAGGAATTTAAATTTTTTCAAGTATTGCCTAAAGAATTATATAGAAAAACAACTACATTTCATGTTTACGGATGTTTACAGTTTTCACTGCAGAGCTTTTAGTGCGTACTTTAATTGATGTCAGTCATGCTCTTGATGATAATGAATGTTGTGTATTAGCTTGGCTATCAGCCAGCCCCTGACCATGTACTTCTCCGTCCATACTTACCCTTCCTATTGCCCTCTAAGCTCTGCATGCCTCTGTAAACAAGTTTGTTTTGTTTATAATTTGTTTATAATCTTTTGCAAGCCGTAGACTTGACTTTTGCTGTGCAAATTTGCTTATCTCCTTTTATTTTATCTTTAGTGGTAAGTCTACTTTCCGATTTGGCAATATATATCTCAAAATTAAAGTGTTCAAGTGTTTATTTTATAATTCTTATAATTTTGCTACTCCATGGAATTTTAAAGTAATGGTTTATTTTCCACAAGATTTTTTTTTTTCCTTTTTGTCTTCTTTACTCACCGGTAACGGGATCGCAACCCTCGGTGTCACGCCCGTACCGGGGACTGGCAACGGGATCGCAACCCTCGGCGCTGTGCCCGCACCCGCTCAGCCAGTGAGCGGGAACCAGTCTCCACATGGGATCCGAACCCTCGGCAGGAGCGCCGCTGCGCTCCCAAGCGGCGCACTCTCCAGTGCACCACCAGGCCGGCCCCACAAGATTTTAAAGTTATGACTTGTCTGAGTGATTTAAAAGTGAGAGAGAAAAAATAAAATTCTACGTATTTCTCTTTGCCATCCACCATGAATCATTGTATAAAACATGTTATTTTTGTTTAATTTTAGTGTATTTTAAATGTTTATTTTTAGTGATGTCAGCATATGTGTCATCTAATTAAATCCCTGCCCTTGCTTTAGATTCCCTACGTATGGGGTATAAAACACATACACAGCCTGTGCCATGCTGTGTTGGTTAATACTGTTTTGTTTTACTTATTTTGCTGCCCACTATGGCCCTTCAGTTGTTAAAGTGATTTGGGTTTGTTTTACTTTAGAATTTTACACTTTCTCTTCTTGGTGTTACTATTTTCTAAATATTTCTTTATCAGAGTAATGATGTATAGGTTATTTCCTTTTTAGAACATATTTACCATGTCCTCTAATGTTTTAGACATGATAATGGTAATATTGAAGCATTTTGTCAAATGTGACCATTTAAAACCTCTATCATATTTGTGTAGTGATTTCCTTCTTGTTCTACAGCATTGAGTAATATATCTTAGAATTTGATCTGATCCTGTATGTATTTCTTAATTCTCTTGATGTGTGTATTTTTATTCTTTTTGATAATAATAGTATGTTTTATTGAGATTTAAGTTTGATTTTGGGGAAGAGAAAAGCACTTTTGCAGAAAAATCAGCTTTTCTAGAGCTACTTAGGCAAGCAGGCAGTCATTTCTAGAGTGGTTTTCTGAGCACTGTGGAGAGGGCGTCTAATCCTGAAGAGTTTCTGGCTCATGCAGTGGACCCGACTCTTGATTCCTTCCCTGTAATGGAATGAACCAGCTTATAGGGCAAATGCACAGCGCTCAGACTGTGATGAATGTTCTTTGTTCAATTCTTTGTCTTTTTCATATTCTCCTTAAATAATAATAATAATTTAAAAAATAAGCTGAAGCCCATATCCCAGCAGACATTTTCCATCTTACATTTAATAAGGGAAAAAATATTGTTTGGTACAGATAGACCAGGACATGAATTCGTCAATCTGTGATTAGAAGAGAAATAGCATAGTTTATTGTTTCTTCATTACTTCTGTCTGGACAATCTGAATTTTAACCAAGTTTCTTTCCTCTCTATGCACTCTCCCATTTTCCCACTTTTCTATTGACTTTTTCTCTATTTTATTTCTAACACACCTCTTTAATCATTGGGGAAAGCTTTGAGTGATGTAGATGATGGAGGATTTTCAGGCTTCAAGTTTCATAGCCACCAGCTTCATGAGACTTATTATCAGGCCTTTCAAATAAATCCTTTACTTCCCTCACAATCCCAAGCTATC